AACGAAGGAATTCATTAACAATGGTATTATGTGAGACCATGGTATCTGGTCGAGCGCCTTTTTGTGTTGAAGCATAGCTCTCCCACAGTCTGATAAAGAGGTCAGTATCAACACCTAATTTAGTGACACCTACTGGGAAATTCCCCGTATGAACAAATTCAAATATTTGTTATAATATTACGATGAATAGAAATGTAAAGTACTAAGCATATGTCCTAGAGTCTCGAATGGTGGCACACAATGAGCCAATAGCGGCTTGCAAGTGTAGTAATTGGTTACTCTGGCGCAATTAGGATTGCGGCTAACCTAGACTGTAGTCTAGGTAAGCCGCAATCCTAATTAAGTAAGTTTATACAAAGTTAGTTATGAACATATAAAGGCAAAATTATTATCCTTCTAACTAATCTCATAATGGCAAACAAATGCTTTTTGATGTGAAACATCTAATGCGGAGGTCAGACCGGCTGTTGGTGGAGATGCGTCACCACGCTATGTGATAGTAAATGTAATATGTAATGCTGTATGGCGATGCATCGCGTGACTACTCATTATTTCTACAAAATAATTTCGATTTTTAACTTAATTTTCTTCCAAACGTCGTTTCTTTGTATGGGTGGATCACCTGATGGTAAGCGTCTACTGTCGCTATAGACATTATGGACACTTGCAACAGGTGATTTCTTTGTTAGAAATACTCAATCGAACATCGTTATCCACCGAGTCTTTTTCCAAACCTTTAGACTGACTCGGTGGCGCAGTGGTAGAGTATGCGACTGCTGTTCTGAGGTCTTCCTGAAGGTCCGATTCCCGGAGCGGACCCAATATTTGTATGCTTTTAAAATCACCACATTAAAAAAGAAATGAGTGGCGATTCGGTCCACTATCTATTGATGGGCTGAAAAGACCCATGAAAAAGATGCCTTTAGGCATTTCGGTCCGCGGGCTGAAACACGATCGGACCGAAAAGTCCTAATACCCGACCTGGCTAGGATTGCCTGACAATGTGCTAACCTAATCGGTTCCCAATTAGTCACGAGCTACACTTTGCCTAGTTTTAATTAAAACCAGAAGATCCAAGCGAAGTTTTTTTTTTTTAAAGGTCTACTAGCAACCGAAATTACTAGTATTCCCGTTAACCCCTCCCGCTAAGCTAAATTGCTTGTGTTAGGAGTGGGTTCATGTCGGTAGTGTACTGGTCCGGATTTCAACCCACGACCTCTTGATCGCAAGTCCAACGCCTTAACCACTAGGCTACCGCCGCTTAAAAAATTCTATGAAAATGAACGTTGACCAAAGGCAGTGGTGCATATCGAGGACAGAAGCGCCGCGCAGGAATATGTATTACTGGACAAAAATGTAAAAACAAATATTTCTGTTGTACTTTTAAAGGTATTAACTATTTAAGTACCAAGAGGGGTATTTTGGGTGGGTAGTTTTACCCATGCCCTTGCGTTGATACGTTTGTTTAATCAAGAATCAAGTTATTCACCATCATCAATGCCATATTTGAATTATAAGTCGCCTATCCATAAGGCTTTTTTTTTCTAGTATTATGGAAAAATTTTGGTTAAGTTGTCAGTTTCTTGCAGACACGGCAGTGATTGCGTCAAATAATTTAACACCAAAATTTACACATGTTTTGTCAGAATACACGATTTAAAACCTTCACAGGACGAACATACGGGGTCGCAATTCTTGCTTTATGTGCAGTCTCCGATTTCCTCCCAAGATATCCTTTTCTCTACTTCCCTCACCCTTGCTCCTCCGCCCATCCGCTTTACACAACCTAATTTTCCTTGTTCCTTGATCATGATTCTCTATTAGGGTTGGTATCTGGTAGGCAGCTAGGCTATAAAAAACCGGATAAGTGCGAGTCGGACTCGCCTACCCAGGGGTTCCGTACAAATTTATAACTACTCCGTACCGTACCTTACAAATGTATGACTAAGGGAGCAAACTACGCAGCACGACAGCACTGCAAAGAGAAGGAAAACTAGATTCAAACCCTATACAAACCCGTCTGGCCGTCTTGCCATAGTAGGTCAAGGTCCTTTCTATGGAAAGGCCTATATCCAGCAGTTTACTATTAATGGCTGTTGATGTGATGATGTGATCTTGATTGTAAAGTCTGAATATTGCAAATCTTGGTCTTAACCCCGTCTTTTCAAAACTTCCGTTGTCCTCATAAAATTTATATAAAAAATAGAAAGAACGTTTTATGCAATATTTAAAAGTAATTTGTCATATATTTTTACTAGGTCATATATAGTATCTGACGTTGGCATCAGGCTGAAAGAAAACTGGTTCTAAGCAACTGCAGGCTTAAAACAGTGTTGCTACTTACAATGTTGCAATCATTCAGGTCATTACCTACAGTTTAAATGCACCTGCACTCGCTTGACTTGTCTCTAAAGTAATATACATATAGATGTGTTTACTTAAATATCTCATTTTAAGTTATACTCTGTGTGGTGACGGATTAAGAATACAGAGTGTCACCACCCCTATTCATCCCGTGGGTGTCGCAAGAGCCGACTAAGGGACAAAACTACGCAGAACAATAGAACTGCAGAGAGAAGGAAAACTTGATACAAACTCTACACCAACCCGTCTGGCCATCGTGGTATAGCAGGCCAAAACCTCCTATCTAAGGAGAGGCTTATGTCCACCAGTGGACTATTAAAGGCTGTTGATGATGATGATGTGAAGTTATACCTGTCATGAATTGATGCAGATGATATGATAACTTATTTGATAACGATGAATGTGGATTATCAAGTTTAGAAATATAACCTGTTGTCGACAAGGTTTTTTTACAAAAAAAACACATCTTTATCACACTAATTTCACGGTCTTGTAAAACCCATCTACTGAGGTATACATAAACATCATGTTTAGTTTATACTTTTATATTAATTGCTTTACTTATTTTTATAAACTTTTTATATGACTTTGCAACAAACATTCTCTGCTATCCTCCATTAACTTCTGGGGTTCGCTGGAAGAAAACTCAGATTTGGTTCAGTACGCATTTGTACATACTCGTATCTATGCCCCGTATTTAAAACATGTTGTTATAAAACAAATAGATTTTATTTCTTTGAAAAAGACTCGTCCCATTTTCTGTAATTTGGGAACCTAAATAAATAAAAATATTTCGGACATCTGACACATAACGCCATTTAGTTTCAAACTAAGGAGCTCGTACTATGAAAGCTAGATTGATTCATAGAATACCTATGTACTTTTTACACCCAACTCCGAAACAAATACTCACTGCCTGCTTTTTAAGAAAGTATGACCGCAATAAGGAAAGAAATGGAGCGTTGGTGTTCAACGTTCCAACACCGATAACCTTAGCTCTAAATGTACTGATAATATTTAATTAAGTGCTTCTGTACTTGGTGTTATCTTTCTTATCGGATTTGCTTTGTGTATGAATAGGAAAAATTACCAAACCGACTGATGTGAACGGAAAAGATTTCATCATCATCATCATCAACAGCCTTTAATAGTCCACTGCTGGACATAGGTCTTTCCTTAGAAAGGAGGTTTGAAATGGAAAATGAAATTACTTACAATCTGCGCCTCAGTTCTTCTATTTTATGTTAACACGCCAAGCCACTGTCATTCCATTGACACGCTATTGAGACGCCATTGACATCTGTCAAAATATCAGTATTCTACTAACATAAATTCACAGTGTCAATAGACTGTCGATATAGTAATATGGGTCATTAATAGGGATATCAACAACATTGCTATACCTGGAAAATTAAAGATATCATTTTCTTACGAATTCAAATTGTACCGTTTACCAAACTATTACAAAGACATCAACGACATTTGTATCAGTGACAAGTCATTGGTCTTACATAGTTAGTAGAATAGGAAAAGTGCAAAACTATTCCGACGACATTCCATCGACAGTCTATTGATACAATGTTAAATTAGCAGAATTGAGGCCCAGGTAATCTGTCTACTCGTTGGCAGGTTCCATAATCACATCACATCACATCAACAGCCTTTAATAGTCCACTGCTAGACATAGGCCTCTCCTTAGAAAGGAGGTTTTGGCCTACTATACCACGCTGGCCAGACGGGTTGGTATAGGGTTTGTGTCAAGTTTCCTTCTCTTTGCAGTGCTGTTGTCCTGCGTAGTTTGCTCCCTTAGTCGTCTCTTACGACACCCACGGGATGAATAGGGGTGGCGACACTCCGTATTCTTAATCTGTCACCACACGGACAGGTTCCATAAAACCATTTGGTAATTTTATTAAGAGTACAAAGTAAGAAAAAAAATTAAGTGAATACAAATAAGGATTTCATAGATTTTATTACCTATTAATTTTAACATCATAACAGTTCGAAATTTTCTGCTAATCACAACTTTTTCATGTGGCTCAGTGTGTACATACTGTAGGAATTTTCGACTCATTTAGCCCATTTTCTCGTGTAAACCTTGCCAGTGCCTTTTTTTGTTGACGGAGTGGAAAATCCCTTCAGATCTCCGGTTCCTTAGGGATATAGGAGCCAGGAGTATGTGGTGATTCTACTAAAAACCACTCCGACGGCCAGCCTTAGGCGCCCTGCTCTGAGCAGAACCCGGGCCATGTGATTTCAGGTGCCCCCAGATCGACGCCGCCGATAACCGATAGTCTGGTTACTAGAATCATTTGTGTGAATATCTCACACATCTCACACACGGCCGTCTGATCCCAAACTAGGCAGAGCCTGTACTATGGTAACAGACTGCTGATAAACATACTTATAAATTTTTAAAAAGATACATATTATAGACAAATTACACCCAGACATAGATCATTTGACCACGCTCATCACACAATATTTGTCCAGGGTGTAAATCGAACCCACGACCTCCGGTTTAGCAGTCAGGGTCACTAACCACTAGACCAAAAGGCCCGTCGAATTGTCTGAAAATATTATATCATTATTATTATTCAAAACTTTCAAGTAATGATGTAACATCTTTGTTTCAGATCTAACACGCGCCACATGTGAACTAAAGTAAGTACTCCACCTATCGTCCCTCATAAATGGCTTCTGCCCGACACATCTACCACTGACCCGATTTGCAAATAAACCTTTTTTACCGCTCGACGCAAGGGAGGGTATGTGTAAGTTTATCAGTCTATGTATGTTTGTTTCGCTCTAGGGACTAAGCACGTTACCAGGGACTTCCTTTCTAGGGTATACCTGGTTCCCCGGCTATTAGTACCCGAGACGGCGTGCGGTTTTAGTCGGTTCGAGTTCGACATGCCACTGACAGGTGGTATCCGAGGGGATTTCCGCATGGAAAAAAAAAAAAAAAGGGACTAAGCACGTGAGCCGATTTTATTGATTCTTACGTCAATGAATTCGTCTTAGTTTCGCGCGTAATTACAATTCAATATGGCGGCAACCAGACTCCATATTGTTAAAAAAATGAAGTCTACGACCTACCTATGTCAAGAACTATGTATGGTATCATTGATTAATTTAAGATCATTATAAAGTTTGTTTTACCGTTTTTTTTATTTGAAATTACCATCTAGGGTCCATATCTATAACCATTTAAAGTTATACGATTCACATTTTTCGTAGGTTATTCCTTCCAAACTTATCGACAAGGGTATCAAAATAAAAGATTTCATAAATGTTTACACGTAACTATGCAATTTTCACGACGTTTTTGTTACTTTGAATAATTTACTTGTTCAAATTTCAAAACAATACGTTATTTAAAATGCAAAGTCCACTGCTGGACATAGGCCTCTCCTTTGAAAGGAGGTTTTGGCCTACTATACCACGCTGGCCGTCTGGCCATAGTAGGCCAAAACCTCCTGGCTTTGCTGGTATAGGGTTTGTGTCAAGTTTTCCTCCTTTTTGAGGTGCTGGTGTCCTGCGTTGTTTTGCGCCCTTAGTCGGCTCTTACGTCACCAGCGGGATGAATTCGGGTAGTGACATTCCGTATTCTTAATTCGTCACTACACGGACTATTAAAGGTATAACTTGAACTATATTGTCAATAGTTTGGGATCAAGATAGCCTTATACACATAAGGCTATCTTGATATAATTTTCCACTAACTTTATTCCGTGACTCCGCTTGTGTCATGTCGCTCTAGGTTTTACTCCGAGGATGATGAAGTCTTTTGATAAAAAGCTGCCTTACATACCAGGTCAGGGCTTAGTAACAGGTTTAGATACCTAACCAGATAGTAGAAAATAATCTATGTGTGTGCTTTGCGGATCAAGGTTTCACGACAAACGACTGAGTTTATTTACCTATCTATCCTATAAATAAGAAATATGTTTTTATTGGCATTGAAAATAATGAGTGGAAATTTCCACGGATCGTCACCTCTCTAAGACTTAACAACAAGAAGGCACGGTGTACTCGAACCGACCAAGGACACATTATATTCCGTCACAGTAATTTCGGTGAATCCCGATTGACTAGCCCACGACACAACACACATACAAAAGTTTTCTTCAACCTACGAGTACATCAAAAAGTTTTCAATTTAGATGTATTTTATCTGTTTGTTACTACAGAACTCCTTCAGTTATGAACCAATTGGAAATTTCGATTTTATGTAGAAGGGTCCGTTGGCCGTTGGTATTACCGTTTGGCCCCTTTAATACAATACTAATACGTAAATATAAGCTATCCCTAGGGGTGAAAATTACGGAATGAAAAATAATATCAAACAGTTTATTACAATCCAGAATGACGAAGGCTCGTGGAAGTCGGTGGTACTTTTTAAAATTTAATTATTTTCCAATTTGACTGTAGTTTTCTATAAAATGCAACACAAATCCACATATTATTATTATATAAGTTATATCTAATGGCCCACATAGCGTTGCGCAATGTCACAGTGTGTCATTGTGCGCAAGACGACCTGCGCCCGAGCACAATAGCCCGGCTTTCGTTCCACTCTAGGGATGGGACATTAATATACGTGATTTCGATAAAAACTTGATACTATGTAAAATTGATTGATTATAGTATCGGTTACAGAATACGCAACTTATTTATTGTGATTTTTACTTTGTAGTTTGTATGATATATTGAGCTTTCAGGGTGATAAAATAGTATGGCGCAGGAACAGTATAAGCTTAAAGTATGTATTTTTAAGAAAATAAGTGTAAATCACCATTCGATTTAACTGAAAAACTAGCAAGCATTCAAGAAATAAAAAATACAAATAATACTTTCTTAGTTATAGATGATTGCAGGAAAGCCTAGAATACATTGGTCACAGAATAACATGGTAAATCTCTCAATATCGTGTATACGAGTATAAACTTATATTTGTAGTTAAAGTAGGTATGAGAGAACATGTTCTTCAACTACAATGTTCTAAAATCTAGACACATACATATATTATTATTATATCTTATATATAAAATTCTCGTGTCACAATGTTCGTTCCCGTACTCCTACGAAACGGCTTGACCGATTCTCATGAAATTTTGTGTGCACATCGGGTAGGTCTGAGAATCGGCCAACATCTATTTTTCATACCCCTAAATGGTAAGGGTGACCCATCCCTAATTTTTTTTTGTTTTGCAATACAACGTTTGCCGGGTCAGCTAGTATACACATATATTCATCGTATGGAAATCGCTCCATGCAAGATTAACTCTAACTTTACGAAAGTTTTAGTTTTTTCAAATGTAAAGTGTACGTGTTGTTTCTAAGCATACTTAGTAAGTAACTATCGTGATTTATACCAGAGGATATAGACAGGTAATTACATTATGATGTCACACGTCATTACCTAGTCACTTAATATAAATAATAACACAAATATCTTATCTCACTGTAGTTTGCAAAGATTTAGATATAATTGACATTGAATCGATAATTACTTTGACGTATTGTTAAGGTTATCTCTATAAAGTTCCTGTTTTAAGTATATGCTTCGAGTGGCTCTACATCCGTGTTCTTCATCTACATCTTAGAGTCGAGATTGTTGGTATGGCTTAGTCATATGTTTATGTATTATAACACAGGATGTTACAGAAAGGGTGCGGTTAAATTTGAAGAACTTTATGTGTAGCTGACAAAAAATTGCTTTAGTTAACAGATATTTTTTACTAAGAAAATGCTTGCCTATTGTGACTATGTGTAAAAATACTAGATTTAAAATATAAACGAAATAAAATTATATTATTAGAGTATATTATAGAATCGTAATCGTATCGCTTGTGACATTGACTACCAAAAATGAAGAACATAATATGACCTTTATTCAAAATAAAATTACAGAGTGACCTGTTGCCCTTTGAAGTGTAAAAAAAGTATAAGCCATAGTTTTTGTTTTTGACTTTTTGTTTTTGACTTTGATAATAAACTTTTATCTGATGATTAAAAAGAGGTTAAATTAAGGTTTCTGATAAAACCTGTTTGTTTTCACGTTGTTTCATTATATACGTGTCTTTGAAATTATAAAAATGTTACTACTTAACTGCTTTTTTAATTTATAAACTCACGCCTGGGTACTGACAGATCGACAACCAACAAATGGCTTCTATCCTTAAACACCTCGCCTTTTACCTAAAATTAATACTGGAAAAGAGATCACCAAGTACCTTCAAAAATATGTTTTCTGTACATATCGATTATTTTCTATGTATTTATATTTTTTCTATACATAAGGCTAAAGTGCTGTATTTAATATTAACATTTTTAATTATCTTACTATTATTCTTAAATTTGAGTAGATGAAGCTTAAAAGCCTAACTAAAAAAATCGCATAAGCACGTAGTATTAAGGATAATCCCGGTTATCGATAGGCAGTTTTCACATCCCTAACGCCCCACAGTTATGACACGTCGTTTATTCGCAACGACACTATTGCTTTCCTATGACTGTTCTTATAGTTGTTATCGTTAACAAGCGAACAACTATTTCTACGTTATTTTTAATTCTACTTATTGAGTTATCAAAAACGACATTTAATTCTGCCTTTAAATTTACGAATTAAGAATACAAATTGTCACCACCCCAATTCATCCCGTGGGTGTCGTAATAGCCGACTAAGGGAGCAAACTAAGCAGGACAACAGCACTGCAAAGAGAAGGAAAACTTGAAACAAACCCTATACCAACCCGTCTGGCTAGCGTGGTATAGTAGGCCAAAACCACCTTTCTAAGGAGAGGCCTATGTCCAGCAGTGGACTAGTATAGGCTGTTGATGATTAAATAAAAAGTTAGAAATCACAAAAAAATACTCGTCGAGGGCATTTAATGTCTGACTCTATGTTGACGCGTTTGTGCTCCTCCAACAACATCCTGAATATTTTTTTCAGATAGGTAGGACTCCCTTATTCAGAGGTGGGTTATAAAATAAATATATTTAAAAATATTTTTTTTAATACTTATACTAGTTTAAGACACACTGTTACTAACACTATATCGATGAATTTTGTCTGAAATAAATGACTTGAATTTGAATAAATAGAGAGTAGCAGGTTTATTTCTTATTGTCTTACCATTCTATTCCTATCTTGATTGCCTCTCATAGAACTATAGATTGGAGAGCTATACTTCGGCATAAAGGTGCTGGCTCGACCTTAGTGATGGCACGGCTTTTCATCGAGTGAGTGCGCTTTACGGAGACCCCTCCTCATAATTCTGAGGAGAGGACTCAAAGGGTGGCTACGTGCTTGTGACAGGTGTTACAGGTGTCATTAGGCAGCGGTCAGTACTTAATATCAGGTGACCCGTCTGTTCCTTTGTACTACCATAAAACTGGCTGACTGATACACGGGTAATTTTAGTCCTCAGTAACTCTTGTGGCGGAAGTATGCAATTGCGATTCTCGCTTCCCCAGCAATTGGCAAGAAGTTTGTTTGGCGACTGTTTTTTAGTCGGTAAGAGGCCGACAGACCCCTTCGCCACCCACTAATGGGCGAAGGACATCCATGGGGATCTTCCACACCGTTAATAATAAAAAAGGCAACCCTACATTCCTCGCCCAATCAGTTTTTCCAACCCATATTTACCTCCTTTTGT